TATCATTTTTGCAAAGGCAAACTGTATCCTTAGAAATGTCTTCAAATAAATGTGTTTGGTTTCTCTGCTTATTAAATACTTGCATGGCAATTTAGGTTCCTCTCTTATCCTGTATAATTGATTGGCAGCCTCTGAGTATTTACTTTGTAAAAATTGACAGACAACTCTTGAATAACTCCTCAGCCACCAGCATGCAGATTTCTGCCTCAGCATTGTCTGCTCTCCATTTTTGTGGATGGAACAGGCAAATTAAAACCTTTCTGCCATATTTGAGGTGTTAACATTTCTTGAGTGCCTGTATGTTAGGCTCTGGTTACATATTCTGGAGGCAGGGAAAAGGGACAGCTTATAACTTGCGAATATTATGACTTGGGTGTTAATACAGGAGGATTTTTGGGGAAGCGCCTGGGTGGCTCAGTCGGTTAAGCAACTGACTTTGGTTCAGGTCATGATCTAGCGGTTCATGGGTTTGGGCCCCGCATCGGGCTCTGTGCTGACAGCTCAGAGCCTGGAGCCTGCCTCGGGTTCTGTGTCTCCCTCTATCTCTGCCCCTCCCCCACTTGTGCTCTCTCTCTCTCTCTCTCTCTCTCTCTCTCTCTCTCAAAAATAAACAAAATGTAAAAAAAATTTTTTTAAAATACAGGAGGATTTTAAAAGGATATGGACATAACCAATTATGATTAAAAGTCTTTGACAATATGAATGAAAAAAGAGGCAATTTGGTAAATGTGTCAGACACAAAATGTATTATGAGATTACATTTCAAAGCATCAGGTTCAAAGTCTATGTATTAAAAGTTGTTTTAAGGGCGCCTGGGTGGCTCAGTCGGTTAAGCATCTACCTTCAGCTCAGGTCATGTTCTCACGTTTTGTGAGTTCAAGCCCCAAGTTGGGCTGTCTTATCTCAGCAAAGAGCCTGCTTTGGATGCTGTGTTACCCCCCCCCCTTTCTCTACCCCTTCCCATCTCACATTACCTCTTTTTCTCTCAAAAATAAATATTTTTAAAAAGTTGTTTTAAGCTTATGAAGCCTTAGTGATTATCAATAGTGATTAACATGACATCAATTTCTGTTCAGTCATATTTGCAACTACATTATAGTGCACAAAGTATATGCACATTGACCCGATTCCCATTTGCATGGCCTGTAGCCTCTCTTCAGTCAAACTGTATGCATCCAGGAAATACCCAAAAGCTATCTTATAATTTCATCTGTGGTCTTTCATGATCATATAGGAAAAAAGTCATAACTTTTAGATATTAACTGGAAAGATAATAATACATCTTTCTCTCTTTGCCAGAAGTCAAAGAATCATTCCTGTTAAGGAACAATACTAATTTCAGTGAATGGATGCTTAAATGGATGCATTCATGAGGCATATGAATGGACTTCTTACTGTATGCATTGTAATCTGCAGAAACTCTGTAAGACATCATATATACGCTTATCTAATTCATTTGATATCTTCTGGTTGTCACACTCTGTGCAAGTTGCCCGAAATTGTCCAGTCACAAGGTGTTACTAATCTTCAGAAAAGACTCATTTGCAATGAGGAGAAACTATTTTTTAATGCAACACCAGGGAATATGTTTAGAAAAGATTTAAGTGGAAAACTCAAACTTCAAAACTGATAAACAGGAACTGATTAACAGAAGGGAGTAAATTGTAATTCATTAAACAACCAGGTGGGAATTACAAAGGACGATTCTGGAAGTTAGACAATATGTACGTTTTTTACACGTATAGGCTGAAACGCTGCTTGCTGCATTATGTGTGAGCTAAAGCATTGATCAGGGTGGGCTGTGGTCAGATCAGAATCTGAAGGAAAAAGTTGGCACAGACTTGGGAGGATTTTTCAGGAAGATAGGACAGCATGAATAATGGACATGAAAAGAGCAAAACTTACGAGGTGGGGGGTGAGGTCTGAGTGTTGCTCGTCTTTGTATCCCAGCTCACTGTACTGCCTATTAAAGGTTTTTATATATATTAAATGCCTCTTGGTAACCTAAGCCAAAAAATAATACATAAAACTTATGCCTAGTGGACTATTTCACCACCATACCAATATACCACATCTTCTGTATCCATTCATCAGTCAGTGGACATTTGGGCTCTTTCCATAATTTGGCTATTGTAGATATTGCTATAAACATCAGGGTGCATGTATCCCTGCAAACTGGTGTTTTTGTCTTCTTTGGGTAAATACCTAGTAGTATAATTGCTGGATCGGAGGGTGGCAAGGATGTGGAGAAAGTGGAGCCCTCTAACACTGTTAGTAGAAATGCAAACTGGTGCAGCCACTGTGGAAAATAGTATGGAGGTTCCTTAGAAAGTTAAAACTAGCCTAAGTTAAAAGTTAAGAACTAGCTTAAAATAGTTCTCTGTTGCATCCCATAAAATTTCAGTTTTCATTTTTGGAATTTTTTGTGTTTTTTTTTTTAAACAATCACAACTATGCCTCATTCTTAAAATAAAGATCAAGTGATATTTTTGTCTCTTTCTGCCAACATTCCAGTAAAAGTACATTTGTTTAATAAAAGTCAATTTGAAAATGTACACTTTTATTTTTCTTCCTAGGATATATCAACATATATTGTATATTTAACCTTTTTTTCTAAAAATTTTTTAATATTTCTTTTTGAGAGAGAGCATGAACAGGGGAGAGGCAGAGAGAGAGGGACACAGAATCTGAAGCAGGCTCCAGACTGAGCTGTCAGCACAGAGCCTGACGTGGGGCTGGACTCACGAACTATGAGATCATGACCTGAGCTGAAGTCAGACACTTAACCGACTGAGCCACCCAGGGACCCCTGTATATTCAACATTTTTTAAAACTGAGAATGTAAATCACATAAGGGTAGGAGTTTTGTTTTTTTTTTTTCTACTCCTTTCATTACAGCCTTAAACACTGTCTAGATCATGAAGATATTCTATACATTGAGTGAATGAATGAACAATAAATTTGCTTAGTATATTAAGAAACTCAAGGGAATCTTCAAAGTGCAACTTTAAGTAATTTGTATTTTGTCATCCTTTTGGATATCAACTGAAATTAGGCTCAGAGAAAATTCAATTTTATATTGGCTATATTGTCTACATTTAGATTATAATTAATTCATATTTTCAGCTAACTATGCAATATACCAGGCAAACATGACTCTTATAATGAAAAATGTTTTGTAAGGTTTTGAGGGCAACTATCATATCCTTAAATTATTTCTTCTGTATGTGATGTGTGTGTGTGTGTGTGAGCGTGTGTGCACGCACATACTCAGAACCAGTGGCTCTCTGAGGTGCTATTTTTCTCTTCTTCAGGTTTAAATCATCATATAACGATCATAACACTTAACAGGTCATTGTCCTCCTCATGACCCAGACCCCAAGACTCATTTCATATCTCTTTTGTGAAGCTTCTCAAGTACATGAGTTACCAAATTTGGTGGATTCTCTCACCACTGATAGAATTATTTAGGCGTTTGGGAACTAGCATTGTTTTCTTTAAACTCTCTATAGAATTAATTTTCCTGTCTTCCCCACTATGTTTATAGGTTTATTGTAAGTTATTCTATCTTACACATTAGCTGGATGTGTACATATACACTTTTCTATGCAAGATTGTTTTGTGTGTATGTGTGTTTGTGTTTTAGTAGCCATTATACCTCCTCTTTTTTAAAAAAATTTTAATGTTTATTTATTTTTGTGAGAGAGAGAGAGACAGAGACAGAGACAGAGACAGAGACAGAGACAGAGTGCATGCAAGGATGGGGCAGAAAGAGAGGGAGACATTTCAAAGAGAATCCGAAGCAGGCTCCAGGCTCTGAGCTGTCAGCACAGAACCTGACACAGGGCTCGAACTCATGAACTGCAAGATCATGACCTGAGTCAAAGTCAGATGCTTAATCAATTGAGCCACCCAGGCACCCCAGTGTTATACATCCTCTGTGTAAAGTAGATGATTCCTCCGTGTTACTAAGCTGAATTTATACTTCATCTCTGAGTCAGATAACTTTTACTAAGTGGCTTTATCATACTGTTAGTTTGGTGAATAATAAAAATTATTCCTGGAAACTTCTCAAGGAATCTTTTTTGATAACTTATTTATTACTAAGGGTGGATGGTTCTGGAAATTATGTACAAATATCCTGTAACACATTTCATCATTTAAAAAAAAAATCTTGGCATTCTGTTCCTATTTTTATTTTCTAAGCAGGTTCAGTCAGAATTGGTAATAATAGATGTCACTGAATTCAGAATTGAGTCTCATATATTGTGATGAAACTAGTGACTTAATGGGACAGTTCTAAGAAAGAAAAGTCCTTTCTATTTAAGGTTCCAATTCTCAACTAATGGAGTTCTCTGGTTTGTTATTTGAAAGGGAAATTTTTTTTAATTCCCATTTTTTAAAAAATATGCATTCTAGCAATCAATCTACTCTGATTATTGAAAGGTGAAAGTAGTGTGTCTTTTTTATCACATAAGATTCCAATTACAGTTGAAATCAATATGTATTTGATATATTTACTACTGAAGGCAAGTGTATTCTTCACTTTTAATGTAGCTCACGGTGAATTCATGGTTAATTTCCTACTGATGGTGGTTGGTCCACAGTCTGAAAGGCCTTCATGCTGATCCCTGTGGCTCTTAGTTCTTGTAGGAAGAGAGCTGGTTGGGGGCTTAAGCTGCCTACTGAGTAGGATGGCCTCTGGTTTCTTAAATGGTAGAATCTGTGTGGCTAAGAGAAAAAATGATGATGATTTCCATTTGTGTGAACTTGAAATTTTCCATGTCTCACTCTGCAGTAACTTGTGTTTTATAAATTATTTTTTTTATATAAAAATGCTTCATTTAAAATGCTAAAGGTATTCCTTTGGAAAGTGTGTTCAGCTATGAAACAAAAATTATGGATAGCTTATACCAAATTAACATTTGGCCCTTCTTTCCACAGATTTTTTTTGAAGTTATTAATTTTGTGTGATAACTCCACATGCAATTTATTTTTAGGGGGATAGTTCCTATGTGAAAGATCGCTGGTGTGTTTTTGATGGATTTATGGTCTTCTGCCTTTGGGTTTCATTGGTATTGCAGGTAATTAAAACTTTTAAATTACAAGGGGGTATTTTCCAAAATGTGCATTGTTTTGAATTGAAATTCTCAACAAAAATAGTAACAAATATATGTCAAATGTCATAGTGTAACTTACTACAACATTATGTTATTTTAAATGTTTATGAGAAAAAAAAACATAACATTTTAATCATTGTCTGTCACATCTGTGAATGACTTTAATCAGTAATGAACATCAATATGACAGCAAATTACTTCTTACTAAAAAGGTGTAAAAATATATTTATTGAAATAAAGGACATTGAATTTAAAATTTCAAAATCTGTCTTTTATGTGACTGAATCCTCACTAAAAACAGCTGAAAAGTGTAGATACATTGGGATGAACATAAAATACTATATTCCAAATAGAAAATGCCTTACTATGAGAAATGGGGAACATATATTAAAAAGGCCTAAAGGTGGGACTTTGCCAGATAATAGAATTCATTTCCATGCATTCATTCAGGCTTGATTTTGCATTTAATTCAACGCAAGTTACCATATTCTTCATCAAAAAATTTAGAATAACACAAATTCACGTCCATCCCGCAAAGTCATCATAACGCTTATTGAAGATCTCTCCTTATTTTTGTAAAGCTCGCCTCTCCAACAGTCTGATTTCATCCTGCATATTAATGTGTTCTTTTCCATTTAATAGCTATTCTGTGATTGACAGACGTTCTCTAATTATCATTTTGCCTCTGTTTAGTAAATGGTACAATTCCTTTTTATTTTTTATAGTAATTTTAACCCTTTCTCCACTACCTCATGTTCTAGATATTTTAAAAGTTCCACCAAAGAACGTTTATTATTATTATTAGTGAAGACGACTTAGCGTACTTGCTCGGTATCCTAAGTTGGCATTTGTTTTTGTAATAAAAACTGTGCGTTGATGAATTACATGGGAAATTACTAAGAGCAGTGGCATTTACATTAGTTTATGTATTCATTTTCTCTAGAGGTAGCTGTAGCGTCCAGGTGGACTCCAAAGAAAATCCGTTTCAGAGGAAGAAAATGCAGGGCCAAGCCCAGAGTGCTGGGTGAACCTCCTAATACCATCTGTGTTTGCTGTGACTTCAGACAATGCTAAGGGAAGCCCTGAGCTTGTTTATTGACCTCTTAATTTACAGGTATTTGAAATTGCTGATATAGTTGACCAGATGTCACCTTGGGGCATGTTGCGGATTCCACGGCCACTAATTATGATTCGGGCATTCCGGATTTATTTCCGATTTGAACTACCAAGGACCAGAATTACAAACATTTTAAAGTAAGCACTGTTTTTATAGATGTTAAGGAGGAAAGTCTATGACATTTTTGTAAGTTTTACCTACTTTCCCCCCCTCCCCCCAGGCGATCAGGAGAACAAATATGGAGCGTTTCGATTTTCCTACTTTTCTTTCTACTTCTTTATGGAATTTTAGGAGTTCAGATGTTTGGAACATTTACCTATCACTGTGTAGTAAATGACACGAAACCAGGGTAAGTGTATCTACTAACTGCATTTTAATCTAGGTGATTAACAAGAAAGTTTCTGCAATTCTTATGAGAAAAATCTGTGTCTAAATTGAACAAAACAGTATTTATGGGCTCTGTTCTATATTCTCTGCTTCCTCAAAAATTTTTTGTCTGATTTTTTAACATAAGTATTCAAGACAAGCCAGACTGAAAAATGTAAGCCTGTGGGCAGGAAGACTAAGCAGATTCCAAGTGTGCATTTGGAGGTTTTCCTCGGAGTGACAGAAAGAGGAGCGTGCTGCCATAATACCATCTGAGTATTTTCATCTCTTATTTAAATAAGATGGAAATGAGAAGTGGTGTAACTACTTGGAAAAACAGTTGGGCAGTTTCTTAGAAAGTTAAACAGACACCTACCATATATTCCATTTATTCCATTCTAGGTATCTTACCAGGGGCAATGAAAACATATATCCATAAAAAAAGACTTCTACCTGGTGACTGTATTTATAATAGCCCAAACTTCTAAGAACCCAAATTTATACCAACAGGTTGATGAGTAAACAAATTGTGGTTATATCCATATGATGAATACTATTTAGCAATAAAAAAAAGTATGAGGAATTGATATATACAACATCTTGGATGAATCTCAAAATAATTATGCTGAGCGAATGAAGCCAGATGAAAAAAATTACATATTCTGTGATTCCATGAATTCAAAATTCTAAAAAATGCAAGCTTGTCTGTAATGACAAAAAGGAAATCGGTGACAGCCTGGGAGTAAGGATGGGGATAAAAGAAGGGGTTACCAAGGGGCATTAGGAAACCTTTGAGGTTGATTGACATGTTCATTATCTTGATCGTGGTTCTGTGCACTTAAAATTTATCAAAGCTGTACATGTTTTAAAAATATTTATTGAGAGAGAGAAAGACTGAGGCAAGGGCAGAGAGAGGGAGAGAGAGAATCTTAAGCAGGCTCCGTGCCCATCATGGAGCCCATGTGGGGCTCGATCTTACAACCATGAGATCATGACCTGAGTCGAAATTAAGAGTTGGATGCCCAACCAACCGAGCCCCCCAGTCTGTATATTTTAATATGTGCAATTTATTCTATGTCAGGTATATTTTACTAAAATGGTATAGAAATGTTTTAGTGTAAAGCAGAAATCTAAATTTCTTCATACAGTTAGACAGTTGATTCAGCACTCTTTATTTTGTGCTGTTACCCACTGAATTTAACGTGACTTTTCTCATTTACTAATTCCCTGTTTATACTGGGTTTGTACCTATGGACTCTGTTGTGCTTGATTGACTACCCCTGTTTAACTACCCCTTCACCCATATTACACTCTAGAATTTGTTTAAATTCTAACATGGCTGCATACATGGGGTCTGTTTCCAGCTTCCAGCCTTACACAAGCTCAGAACCCTATTATCTGCATCTTGTGGGCATTAAAATCCAAGCTCTTGGCTCCTGGACACTTAACCCCCCATTCATACCATTTTTCAATGCATGTATTTCCCTCTCTCTAGTTTTTAGTTCCCTCTTACCTTTTGACCTTTTGGAATGTATTTTTCTTTCTTGAAAGCCCAGATAGGCATCTTTAAATGTTACCATTTATCCAACAGGTCTACTTGTTTGTAATGGAAAGAGTTGAATTTAATACAGCCCAGTTTGCCAGACCTACCCTCTGGCACTCATAGCTATTCCCCACCCCCCAATTTTTCTCATTACCTTGTGAAGTCCTTGAGGACACAAAGGGAGAGGGGTGGAGAACATTCATCTTATGTCTCGTACTTAGTAGTCTAGTGTAGAGTAAGTACTTAGTAACTGTCTATTGAAGGCATGGTGCACAATACATTATATTTACACAGATAATAATAACATTGTGACAAGTTGATATAGCGGAGGAAATTTAAAACAGAGGAATAAAAGAAGTTTCTAAATAGGACAAAGGAGAAATAGTTAAAAAGTAGAAAAGCACTGTTGAAAGTGGAGAGAGGCAGTGAACTAGCACAAATATGGTGAGGAAGTTGAAGGAAGAGGTGAGTAAGGGGGCTGTCTGTGTGGGTGAGGGAAGAGACAAATGTGTGGAAGAAAACCTGTAAGTAGTTTTTTTTTAAGTGTATGTAGGCTGTAAAATATGTCTAGATTGTTCCATGAATGAATATGGAGGTGGGAAAAAGATATTGTGTGGGTGGGAAACAATAGAATAGAGTTGAACAGAGAAAGCTTCCGGATAAGAAAGCCTCTGTGTTCTAATAGCAGTGAGCACAGGAAGCTGCTTTAAAGTTTCCATTTTATTAAAAATCAAGTCAGAATGCGAGACTTCTAAAGCATGTTAGAATTGTAAAACTACTTGGAAGATCAGACATCCTGCTGGCAAACCTAATTTTGACACATAAAGTACGATACAAATGGTGAAGAGGGATAGGAGCACCTCTGACCTCAGGGCCCTTGCATCACTTCAGAAAGTGCTCTTCACCATCTCCTTACTATATGCAGTACTAGGACATGAATGGCAAAGAAACAAAACAAAACAAAACAAAACAAAACAAAACACCAAACAGCAAACAAAAAAAGCCATTAAAGGACCTCTTGTATTCTGAATATTAGCTCCAGCTCATTACTTAATCCTAAAAATGGAATTCTCTATGAAGAATTTCATACATTTTGGCAGAGTTTTTGGTTACTCTAGACACAGCAGTTATGGAAGAATGTCTGCATTTTCTCTCTTCCAGGTATTTATAAAATCTGCCCATTAGCGTTATGTCCATACACATATATCTTGCCTTCTTTTTATGTGACAGTTTACTCTCTGAGAAGAAAATATGTAACTGCCCGCAGGATAGTAATGTTGCTACAATAACAGCTTTCTTTCCTAAGTTTGATGATTCATTTGAAGGACCGATCATTTATGCCATTTTTTGTTTTAATTTTCAGTTCAGTTTTAACTGAGTTTTAGTCTCACTCATAAGCAGAAAAATTATTGATGCCATTTTACCATTAGTTCCAGCCAGACATTAATTTATTTTTAGAGACTCAAAAAACTGTCCAAAGTCAAAATAAAACACATAAAAAATCCCAATTAAAAAAATTCCAACCTTTTTGTTTCCTTTTCTTCTGAACTAGGAATTTCTCATCAACATCTCTGAGTCAGATATTAAGCTACATCCTGATGGTTGTGTTTCCAGCGATCAGTGTTGCCAGTCATTGGCATGACCTCATTTCTCTTATTTATTGTCCTTTAACAATCCTTCCGATTTCTGCTTAATTGTTTTGCGTGCACAACAGCCTAATAATGGGAGTGTCTTCAGGCAGAGCTGTGTCTGTTCAGAAACCTGTATATCCTGCGTTTCCAGGCTGACCTCTGGAATTGATTATGTGTAGCCTGTGAGGCAAACAGGATAAATAAGGAAGCAACTCAATACACCCAGTTTTGCTTTTAGATGAAGCTGATTTCTTTTAAAGCAGAGAGAAGGGAATCTTAGCTTTGTCCTCAGTAGCATTACTAGTAAAGCTTTATTCTCCTCTGATAATGAAGGGCGACCTAAGGCACTTATGGCACAGGTAATGGGATTTGACTCAGCAAAGCAGTTCATATCCTACAGAAATTTGAGAAAAGCGATGGCCTGTGGCAGAAACAGGTGTTACAAAATGCCAAATGTGTTGGCAGAAATCTCCCTGAAGCTACAAGATGATCACGTAAAAATGAGCTGGTAGGTGAAATAGAAAAGATGAAGACTTATCTGCCACCTTATTACCATTCCTGAGAAAGGAGAGAAATTTATTTCTAGCTGAGTATCAAATAATGAAATCTTCTTCCCAAGAGTGAGATAATTAGAAAAACCCTAAAGAAAGCAAATGTGAATATTAAGTATATAAAAGTTGATTCCACCAGGAATTCAAGTAAATACTTATAATGGCTGAGCCATTAGTTTTGAGACCCAGAGGTAGGGAACCGCACATCACAGATGCCCAGGACATTCCTAGAGTATCCTTGCTGTGGCAGAGTAATTACTAATAGCTTTCTTTTCCATCTCAGGGAAATCTCAGGATGGCCACCCCACCCCAAGGTAGCCTGTAGGACTTGGTGGTATTTTATAAAATATCACTGACACTTAGCCTAGAGATAAGGTAAAGTTGGATTTGGCTTTTTTATTACTGGCCCCAAATAATATTTAAGTTTACCCTTTAGGGTACTTGGGAAAATAAATGAATTATTATCTTATAAATTCTGTTCACAAAATAATGAGTTTTTTTAATGGAAAAGTCAGAAGAATTAAAGATAGAAACGTGGTGGAACTTAAAATGTTAATTTTTAATTTCTATGGACTTTATCAAGAGGGAATTTTGTAGAATATGTAAAATCGTAATGCCTCAAATTCATGCAAAGGTCTTTGAAGTCTTCTTGATTTATATTTAAACTTCTTTTGAAGGATGAAGACACACTGTTCAGTTTAACTTGCAGGACTCACGCAGAGACGTCTGCTGGGTGGGCGATATAAGAACAAGTTTGGATAAATGCATATTGGAGAGATTTTTCTTTAAAATATTTAAAGAAGAAATGAAAATACTCTGATGGGTGCATGTAAATTTCTAACTAAATTAACAGCCACATTTATGGAGCACCTGTTCTACCTCATGTATTGTGCTTCTGTAACTAATTTTTAGAACAACCTGAAAGGAATTATTTCCCCCATTTTGCAGATGAAGGCACAGTCCCAACATAAATAATATGTTGGTCTGGTAAGTGAGAGCGTCAGGATTTGAACTCAAGTCTGGCTTCCAAGCCCCTGCTTGTTCTTCCATTTGAGCAACTTCTACCTTGTTATGATCCCATATTTGTAAACCTGTAGACACATGCAGATGCACATCTGTATGATACACTCTTTATATGGCCTAGAGAAAAGTAAAGTCTACATGACCTCTGGTTTCTTTCTACCACCATGGAGATGGTGTGTTCCGGGGGTTCTGGTTCATCCAAGCCCATAAAATAGTGACACACAATATATTTGTA